CGCCATACCACGCTCGCAAATTCGAGTTTGTACCTAGCGAGGCTAATGAGGATAGTTAGGCATAACGATCAGTGAACTCTCGGCAGAACGTCGAGTGAGAGCAGAGTTGCAGCGCTTCCTTATCAACTATGTTGACGTGATCATTAAATGTAAGGATTAATCCATCGTCACACCCAAGTCCCGAACATTCTCTACCCGATGTAATGACGAATGTCCCAACCTGTAGTCAAACATTATCGGTTGTACTCTTCTAGTGTACGTCATAACGGCGCACAAAGTCCGTTTTCAACGACCAATATTTCGAAGTTGTGCAAAGCCTGTTGAAGCAGCTGGCAGTCATTGGTGACTTTCACCTTAAGGAAATTTTTTACATCATCTGCGTAGATGACTACTATTGTCTTAGTAATGAATGCGGGCAGTTTATTCATAACCATGACAAAAAGAAATGGACCCAGATGGCTTCCTTGCGGAACTTCTGAATGGACGCCAAAGGAGCTGGATGTATTGTTGAGCACCCTGACATACTGTATCCTGGCTTGTAGATATGTATTTATCCATTCAAACAACATTCCATTGATACCGAAATCAGATACAGCACGCATTATACTATCTATACCTACCACATCAAAGGCCTTGCTCGTGTCCGTATATACACAGTCGAGTTGGTACCCTTAGGATATGTAATCCGTGACCAAGGAACTGAATTCACACAGGTCCGTGACGACTGACTTTCCATTGAAGAACCCATGCTGTGTTGTTGAAACACGCTCGTAAATTCTCTCATTGATATGGAGGTAGACAAGGCGCTCGAACAGTTTTGGCATCGTGTACTGAATTGATACACCCCATTAGTTCTCAGCATCAGAACGTTAGAGTTATGTGCGGGATTTTCCATAGAGGCGTGAAATAACCAGACCAATGCGATGAATTGAAAAAGATAGACAGGGGTTCGACGAGCTCATCCTTGAATTCCTTCAAAAACTTATTTGAAAATCTGTCTGGTCCTGCTGACTTTCCTGAGTCTAGATCCGACAAACCTTGTCTGACTTATTCACGACAGCGGTGTCGGTGGTGTAGTGGTAAGCTTGATTACCTCTTACCCCAGCAGGCCTGGGTTCAATCGCCTTCCTTCGAAAGGGAAGTAAAGCCGTTGGTCCCCGGTTCATGAGTTGATGGATCGATAGGTAGGGTCCAGGTGTGAGAGCTGCCTCCCTGGCGTCGGTAGCATTGGTGCTCAGCACGGAAAACAAGATCGACGGAAAACAAATCAAGGAAAAAAAATTTATTCACGATATAACATTAACGAATCAGCGGTTTCGTTGACTGGAGAGTTGATTGCATTTGAATGATCGTTCCGATAAACACCCTTGAAGTACTCCGCAAAAAGTTCAGCGGAATCCTGTCCATTGGTAGAAGTCTTGTTTCCATATTTTATCACTTCCGGAATTCCGATGTTTTTACGTCTGCTATTCACGAACTTCCAAACAGATTTCGGATTTTCTTGAATCCCATTCTCCCAGTTATGTATTCTTGATACGCTTCTCTGTGTAACTCTTTGAACGTTCCCAGTAGTTGTTTGTAAGAAGCAATGTTCTCCGGAGTACCATTCCGGCGCTTTTTCTTCCGTGCTTTTCGTTTGTCTTTGAGAACTTGAATGAGTATCGGCGAGAACCATTCTGGCTACGGGTTTTCCCAATTCGATCGATACTTGGAGAAAGGGGAAAACCTTACGAAGATTCTGAATAATGCGAAATAAAACGACTATCGGTAATTATGTCTTACGTGGCTATACCTAGCGTATTTGTGCCTAGCCTCTGTCTTGGGCCCTTGGTAAAAGCTGGTGACCAAGCTGACCAGCCAAAGGAATAACAATTATTAATAAAATATTTTGTCCGCTCGGTCACCAGCTTTCACTTTTACTATCCTGGTTGACGGAAGTTTAATGCATGTAACCATGTATAATTAACACTTTTCAAATTCAAATTGTATTTCTCACAATCCTGTATATGTCTGGGACCGTGTATAGCATGCCATTAACGATAGCATCAGAATTTATCTCGTGAATTCAAACCATCTGGCGAGGAAACATTTTTCTCATACTTGAAGCAAACGCATGCATCATCTACAAAAAACCGTTTTCGAACGTGCGCAACGCTGTAAGGAGACTGAGCTAAAAGCAATGAACACACATGAACGTATAATTTTCGCCTGCATGTTTCGAATGCTGCATTTTGCGTCATGTGCAGCAGTAACGGGGCGGTATGATAAAAACAAAGCAAAAGAAAAAAAGTCCGAACGGGATTCTCCGGAAAGGGGGCGAGGCAATGTCGTCTCGATTTCTAGCGAAGAAAAAAAAAATAGAAACATTAATTGATTAATGTAAAGGAAAGGAACCCTTAATCTAGTTTGAGTTGCGTTCACACAAATTTGCAAAAACGTAGGTCACTCATAGAATGAGTAAATTTTAACTCAAATATGAGTAAATGTTATTCATATTTGAGTAAAATTTTCCTCAGACTTTGAGTGACCTACGTTTGTGCGAACGAACGTAACTCAAATATGTGTGAGATTCAATGGCCGTGTAGGATTGAATCTTGTCTTGTCCATTAATAAGCATGCTTGTGAAGAATGTATTATTTCTTCCTTTAATTTCATATAAAACGTATAGGGTAAGTGCACCACTATTGGCCATAAGTTCCTATTTTGGCTATACTTCAGAAAAAAACGATTGTGTTTATTAAGTGAGTATCTTGTACACATTTTTTGAACTGGTTCTAAAATGTCAAAAAATGATTATTTTCGTAATATTGAAAAATGTGTACTTTTTCCCCTTTTTTTAAAACATGTTCTGCAATAAAAATGAGTAAAAATTATTCCTAACTGATTCAGTGCGAAGTGACGCCATTTTTAAAAACGCAGAAACAAGCGGAGCTTGGGAGTATAAATCGTCAAATATATTTTTTAAACTTTTTATTGCACTTCTAGGATACAGAATCTTCCCTGGCCGAGCAACTTACAAGATACGTTGCGTATAAGGCTGAGCAAGGTGCACCTGTAGCACCACATCGTTGTCACAACTAAAAAAAAAATTAAAGATTTTGTTGATATTGTTAGCGTCAAAACTATGAAACATAGAACAAGATAATCGGTTAACCGATTGAGTGTTATGTGCCTTGAATCATATAAAGCTGACAATGCAGACTGAAATTTGTTTGTTGGTTACATTTTCATCATCCACTAAATAAACAATTTTTTATTATGAATGAAGAAATCGATATGTTTGATAATTAGAAGTTGAGTTTTGTTTGATGATTTTAAATTGAATCTCCAGAGACGAGCCAGTCTCTTTAATAAAGTAACCTAATCCATTTTAAATTGAATTTTGACGTATTTATGATTGATGATCATGAGCCCTATAATGATTTTTGAGTAAAGTTGATTTTACTCATTTCATGAATTAAGCCACTTTTCTTCGAAATGCGTACTTTTTTACTCATTAATGGGTACTTGAGGGTTAGCGTGTAGGATTTAAATAATGAAATGACGCTGGGTGTTAAAAACGCTAGTGCGGTAGTGTGGCTTATTTTTTTCTAGATCATGAAATTCTAAAAGTATAAAAATCGTGGAATTGATCGAATTATGGTTCCAGCGGTTATAACAACCGGTAACCTTATTTTTATTTATATATTTATTTATTTATTTAAATATTGCTTTCAATAAATTACGCATAATGCATTATTTGCACGTGTACGACTGTAATTAAAATTCTGATTTAATTTGGTTTTTGTCATTGTAAAGTCTACGAGATGAACTAGCCAACGAGCTAAAAATCTCGCTAAAAAAGCTTAAAAACATTGTAAAGTCAACATTCTTATTATATGCAGCCATAATTTGTACAATGGTGGGTTGTTATAAATATATTTCGATTTCACAGTTTCCAAGAAGGTATGCAAAACTGTAATTTTGATACGAGTTCTACTGAGTCAATTTGATGTGAAACGATATAGTTTACAAATGAAACCATTTAAAAATTACGACGCATTTTTAATGTTTCAATGTTGATGAGTACCCGAGCAAAGTCGGTTAACAAAATGAAAGCAAATTGATATTAAAGTGTGCAGTTCCTATCATAATGAAAACTCATTTTGATTTCAAATGTTACGACATAAGTCTGATATCATATTGTGCTTTCATTATGCAGTCAAGACTTTTTAAATGAAAGCAACTTAACTTGCTTAACTAAATTGCTGTTTACGTCTTGTTTAAAATTTAATTCAAATTCATCTGTCGTTGAACTAATGATTATTGTTCATTTGATTTGTTTGACACATTTTAGGTCATTCGTGACTTTCCCGGGGTGAGATTGGAGCCCAAGTCTTTCAGCTTGAGAAACATGAATGGTAACCATTTACTTCAGGCCCGTATTTAGTCAAACATTACGAATGCAAAATCAGTAATCAAATTGATTTCATTGAAAGCAGGATTAGTTTTCCGTTTGCTTCAACAGTGTAAAATTTTGCTCTCATTTTTGCTGTGTTAACCGTTAAGTCAACCAGAATGAGATCAACTGGAGTATTCAAAATAAGTTACATCATAAACAGCAAATTTTGATTTCAATTTGATCTTCCGCTTTGCTCGGGTATGCAGCTTGCTTCAAAAGATTTTTTTTTTCTTTTATTAGAGAGCTTTAAAAGATGGAAGTGTTAATCTTATCCAACCTAATTTATGAAGAGCAAATAATAAGAATAGTTTTTATACTGATTCTAATTGTTCATTAACAAAGGTGAACAAACTATGCTGCAATATTCCAGCATTGACCTCACATAAGAATTGTACAGTACTTTTTTATAATTGTATATGGGTCCAGAAAATGACAGCTGAATCATTTTATAAAGCCAAGCATGTTGTTTGATTTTATGATTATTGTATTACAATGATCAATGAATGTTATTATACATATAATTCAAGCATTCAACAAAACATGTCTTTCATACTTTCAGTTCAAGTCGAAGTCCACTCCAGCAGCAGTGGGGCAGCAAGTGGTTCAGATGAAGACCTATCCGTGTCTTCTTCCAATTCCGGTGTCGAACGAAAGCCTCCCGAACTAAAACGATCCAACTCCAAATCCACGCATGACCACGACTACGAGGACATCTATCTGGTCCGAGAGGAGGCTCGCTATGGAACAAAGACGCGAGCTGGTGCTGGCCGAAGCCGATCTCGGGACAGCGGTTCACACAGTCGATCGGCCAGTGCAAGCTCAAACCGTAGCAACGACATCATCATGCAGCTTACTAATCAGGTTGTTTAATTTACTTAAGACGTTGACTATAACTTATGTCTAAAATATATTTTCAGACCGTAAGCAACAAGGAACAAATGTTAATCAACAAACGAAACAATCTGTACGAACAGCAGACCAAACATCGATACGATGTTCCGAAGAACTACAAAACGACGAACCTTAGCAAAGCTAACAAAAATGCCAGCCATCATCAGTCGAACCACGAGTTAAGCCTAGCATCATCGCGAAATGATAACGCTTACGAAAGTGTTTGCTCACCAGAAGATACACACGAGCGAACGAAACTTGCTCAGCGCCACTCTCTCCCGAATGGAGGCGCTGTGGTGAATGGTAACGGTAAGGCCAATGCCATCGGCGGTAAGCAGGTGAAGCGTAGTGGGTCGATGAAAGGAAACGAAAATAAAGGTAAGTTCATCGAGGAGTGCTTTCGCGATCACAACTAAGCTTTTTCCGTGGCGGATCGTTGATCGAATTTTGAGCTCTCCACTTTAAATGAAATATTTTTAAACCCAAGCTTTCTGCGCGAGCTTCAGCATGAACGTCTTCGATTTCACTTACTCGAAAACTTAAGGGTTGTAGTTGTCTGCTCCAATGTTAGATGTTGTTACATTGGAAGTAATTTGGTCATAGACCGTTCCTCAGTTAGCAAAGTGGAACATCGAAACACTACTCAATGCTAGATAGGGTTAACTACCCCATTTCCGGCCTATTAAGCACAACCCGCACCTAGTATTTCTTAATCTAGCACAGTGTAACTCAAAGGCGATGTCAAAAGCAGAGCTTCAGAATTCTGTGATTTTGATGTTGACATCAAAAGAACTTTGGAACTATGATATCTTGAGTCATATTGAGTACCTTGAACCCATCGGCTACATCGTTTTTTTTTTGTGTCCTCGAAGAAGCAGTCCATACCTTTCATTCACATCAAAATCTATCATGATGCAACCTGTATTTCATGATTCCGGAACGGATTTAAAATGGTATACTTTCAATGACCTCACCAAATAGTTTTCATTGCCCATTTATTTCATGATTTGACATGAAGCATGATTATTTTACCTCGAATATTACTATGACCTATAGAACCAGATTCCGACCCAAAAAAAAAAATTAAAAAAAAAACCCTACCGAGTACTGTATACCAGGATTTGTGCATTTTCTGTATCGCATTCGTGCTTGCATAATTTGACTTGCTCCATTATTATTTCAGTTCAATTTTACTATGGCCTGAAGTAACAGATTCCGGAACCCCAGGAACCGATGCCAATATGGTCATATGTCATCGGATACACCATAAACTGATTTCAATGATCTTACCTTATCAGTTTGACATGATTTGACATGCAACATGGTTATTTTCTAAATTGATTATCATTATTACCCTGGTTATTTTGCCACGAATATTACGAGGCCTATAGAACCAGATTCTGGAACCCCTGGAACCGATGCAAATGTGGTAATATGATATAGCCAACCGTACCGTATTCCCAGATTCACGAAATCGGTTTCCGAAGCAACGGGAATCGGTGCCAATGTGGACTAATGACAAAGGAATCATCTCAAACAGGCTTAATTGACCTCATTTATTATACTGATATGATTTGACATGATTCATTTGCCTCGAGTATTACGATGACGTATAGAACTGGATTCTGGGATCCCCAGAATCGATGTAAATGTGGTCAGATGTCATCGGATGTACCATAAACAGATAATAACGTGGCCAAACATCGTAGAAACATTTAAATTCATTCCTACTTTCCATATGTAATCTATCTGATATTATTCAATGCACCAAATAGCCAATTCGTCAGATAACAAATAGAATTTGGTCATGTATGTCTCATTTACGCCAAAACATCGAATAGTACAGGGCAGATACCTAGTCGTTTATGCAACCATCTCTTTTCCAACAGTTCATACTCTTCAAAATATATCAGTTTTGAGTTTGTGTATCTTGGTCAAATTTGCTAGTTGTTTCCTCACACCTGGCTAACTGTTCTCACGGAATAAGATCCAAGGTGCTTTCAAGTCACTTACTTGCATGTTTGTGAATGTCCAATTTTATCAATTTTGATTATTTGCTAATCGTAGACATATTAGAGATGACGCAATTTAATTGTCTAAAATGTAGCCAAGATGTTTAACTTACTAACTTTTTTCTAATCAAACTAGCACTCGAGTTAACCACAGCTCCAGGGTTTCTACGGTCCATACATATTTTTGGAAATTCTCAAATTTTCAAAAATGTTGAACGCAGGGGAAGAGGAATCTAAAATTTCTCAAAAACTGTATGCGTAGTTTATGAAGAGACCCTCTCTGAATTTAATCAATAGTCACTCACTCATTCATGTATCGTAAGTAATCAATATTGATCAATAATCCTACTTACATTTAAGGGTTAACTCCAAACTACTGAAACTGAACTATAAAATATTATTATATAAAACCAATTAAGTTATGTTTATCGAAGTTATGAGGCTGAAGTTAATCCATAAGATCCTTAACGTTTCCAAAGCTCATAATTAAGGCCACTAGGCATGTCCCATAAGACCTTTGGAGATTTATATCACAAGGATATTAACACTTGAGATCCTTTAGAGTTAACCCAAGGAATATTTAAAGTTTAGCCATAAATATAACGAAAGTTCTATTTTCTCGAAGAAAATATACCAAGAAGACTACAAACTCTCCCATTTTCTCATACGAACGCTATGAGACAGGCACAATCGCGTTATCTGCCGCTCAAAGGTAAATGCTCCGATCGAATTAGATAGCAAAGGTTCCATCCTCAGAAGAGAGGTTTGTTTCTTTGCTCATTTGTTATTCGTTGCTTCCACCTTTCCTCGAGTGCAGTGGTATTGTATCTGTCGCTTAGATTGTAGTAAAGTTACCAGTCTGCTTGATTTGTTGTCATCGATTTTCTACTAGAAGACTGTCCAACTGAGGTATTTGTGTCGATAAGCCATGTCCTACCTAAACAGTATACAAATTCATGCATTTGTTGGAATAGAAAGCTCTCAACTGAAGAAGTAAATCAAGAACTTTAAGTTGAAAGCCGGCAAAACGCTTGAATAGTAGCGTAACAAACCTAGTAAAAGTAGAAAAATATGCACTTCCCAAGTAACAATTTTGGTTTTATGAGAGTTCTGTAGACCATGATTTAGACTTGTAGCATGCTTTAAAATCTCGATAAAACTTGCTATGTTACTTGGGTTATGGACTTTGAACAGTCACAGAAGCTTTAAAAATTGCAATCCTTGCTATTTTTCAAATGATTCTACATGATTCTGAGCATGAGTATGAGCGTGATTGACCGCGGTTCCCTAATAAAAATACCATAAACGAATGGTAACCCAAATAATTGAACTATTTCACAAATGGTTTGGATGATAACCGGAACATGTAGTTAGGCAAAATAACCACAACAATGCTATTGGGGTTGCTACTCCGTCATGATCAATGACCATTCCAGCACCGTCCGCATCCGGATGCAGGTCAAAATATTTATGTGTTGACGTAATACTCACTTTGTTGGAAGCCGGTAAATCCTTTGCACTTCCACGAGAAATCACTGGGTTGTTGGATAAAAGGGGTGAGCTTACAGCAAGATTCGTTTTGGCAAACGGTAAGGTGTGTATGGTGGATCACAACCCGTGCTCCTCACTGCTCTTTCGATCTGTATTGAGATCCCCAGCAACTGTGCTAAATTTAAATGAATTTGGTTAGGATTTAGATTTTCGGGAGAATTTTAAATTTTGTAAGCACATCGAACGGAACCAAACTATTCATTTGCTTGACAAAAATTGAAAAATAGCTTAATTTTGACCAAATTGAGTTTAGCTTCCGCTTCCATCCGAGCCCGCAACTCCCTTACTTCTTCCAATTGTTTTTCTTTCAGCAGCACCCACCGCTTGGCCTCCTGTTCGTCCTTTATTCGCTCCTTCTCGGTATGTGTAGTAGTAATACATAATGTATGCTCTTGAAAATAGGAGGCTGCTATTTTCAGCAGCGCTTGCTTCCTCTCCACTGTTCATCTCAGCGTCCTGGGACGTCACATCCATCACCACCATCTCTTCTTCCAAGACCTGAACCTCTTCCTCGTTTGGCGATGCATACACCAGCCAGCGCACGGGCTGATACTCATTTCGTGGTTGTATTTCTTCTTACTTGCGTTGCTGTACTGACTGCTTTCGATCCACCCGTTTGGGGCAAGAATTCACCCGATGCCCCTCCGTCTTACAAAGGAAACACACATTTGTGTTCCCTTGATAGAATAGTAGTGAGTTTGGAATCTCCTTTTTTACATCCATGTATGGATCCCGCACACCTGTATGCATATCGAGGCCGATTTTCTCCCGAACCACACGCTCGATAGCTATCAGAGGTCGTACACTCTCACTATTGAACTTAGGATTTAAACTTGATGAACATAAATTCTCCCTCCGCTATGCGATATGTAGCGATCATTTGAGTGGGATCCGCGTCTGAATTCACAAAATTCTTTCTTCATTGCAAGAACTACCATTACATTTGTTGTATGTAACATATGCAGAGGATTTAATAAATGCAACCTTACATTGGATGTAAGAGAAATGTGTTTTGCTTGTGGGGACCTCAATACACACCGAAAGAGCAGTGGAGAGCAGATGGTTGTAAGCAAACGAATCAGAACTTTCGGTTTCCCGTAGACTCTTATTGATGTTTCCATTGCATTTACCCTCGCTGCCCTCAAATAACACATTTTTTTTTTCCTTGATTTGTTTTCCGTCGATCTTGTTTTCCGTGCTGAGCACCAATTCTACCGACGCCAGGGAGGCAGCTTCCACACCTGGACCCTACCTATCGACCCATCAACTCATGAACCGGGCACCAACGGCTTTACTTCCCTTCCGAAGGAAAGCGTGATCAGAGATTTTGTGCCTCAGATTGGAAATAGATATGCAACGTCATTTTGAAATCGAAGATGGTGGCTTCCAGCTTAAAAAATTATTGGAAATACTGTCAAATACCCATCAATATGGATATTTTTAGAATTGTGATGACGTCTAGAGAATAAAAATCGATATTTGACGCCATTTTGAAATCCTTCCGATTTCAGAAAAAAAAAGTGGGAAATACTGTCAAACACCGATCAATGTGGGTATTTTTGGGATCGAGGTGACATCTAAAAGCCATAGATAGATATGCGCCGGCTTCCGAATTCAGTGTCAAAAACCCTACAAATGGCGTCGGATATTGATTTTCAGTATCTACGCGTCATCCTCGTTCCGAAAGTACCAATATTGTAGGACATTGGACACTTTTTTGAAACCCGATGGCCGTCATATTGGATTCCAAAATGGCGTTGGTTACCGAATTTCGGCATCAACGCGTTGTTACCGGTCCGAAAATACCCATATCTC